TTCTGATAAGAGCAAAGGTTTATGAGGTCTTGACTCTCTGCAGGCGCAATATATATATATATATATATATATATATATATATATATATTGGCAAATTGGTCTCTGTTGGTACACATACATGTTTTCGACTTTTAGAAAGAATGCTTCTCGTTAAGATTCACCTTATTATTTTCATATTGAATGTAAAATTGTTCACTTTTCGACTTAAAGTACACGTAGGTTTCTATTGTTTATTGGTTATTGGAGGGTAACTAACTTCATGTAGTGTAGGTCTATGTGCTAATCAAATTCTATCGACCATTTTGCAATATGGCATCTTGATGGTGTATCTCCTAGCCTAGTGGTCACATTACAAAATGATTGTTAGACTACATGAAGTTAGTTACTTTTCAGTAATCAACCAATGTACGTAATCCAGTCCTTAAGGAGATAAGTTGTGGCTGGAATAGCTCAATGATAACGTCTCTTACTGCAGCACTGGATCATACAGGTTTGAATCATATGTGGGACATCAATTCTGTCGAGGTTGTAGATACGCATTGTTGACAGGTGCCGAGAAGAATGAAACCTAGGTTCAAAGTTTACAGCTGAATGCCTTCATCCAACTTATATATGCTTGGGTTTGTACCAATTAAAATATAAAAGACCACTGTTTATTTTTTATCGTCAATGATGACTGCTTGATTTATTTACTTTTCTCGTGCATATCAGCTGATCAGCTTAAAAGATTTCTTTTCGAATATCAATATCTATCTATCTTCGCCTTCACCTCCAATCATTCTGTAGATTTCTTTTAAAGAATGCACGGTTGCATTTATTCTATTCAAGCTAAAAATGAAAAATGAATCTCATCAGGGAATTGAAGATTTGAACCTATTTGACTCACTAACCTACTTAGCATTCCATATTTGTTGTGTTTAGATTTCTGTGAAATCTTTTATCTTCAGGAAACAAAAAACTGTTCCTCAGAATGTGATAACTAAAAAACTCGAATACCAATAGGCACATATTCGTACAAGCAATTTTAGGGTTCATAGGTATGAGTTTCAAGGTAGTATTTGTCGAAACATTTTTATGGCTGGAGTATCTCACATTTCTAACGTTGAACGCTTCCAAATGTGTGTAAATAGGAATATTGTCAATGTTCGGTAGTGGTTAGCAGCGGAATCCAGGACGTGCGTCTCATCATACTTAGGACTCGTCAGCTGCACGTACGGTATTGTTTCCACTAAGACTCGAACCTCGGGAACGATCACCTCATACAGCAGGGCGTTATCCACTAGGCCACCGAGTCACAATGTCGAAACATCCACTCAGGAGCTTATGTACCAACAGAGACCAATTTGCCAATATATATATATATATATATATATATATATATATATATGCGCCTGCAGAGAGTCAAGACCTCATAAACCTTTGCTCTTATCAGAAGTACGTCGATTGAGTCCTTCATCTCATGAGCGGCCTTACTGTGGACAAGAATTGGCACGTTATCTGCTCACTGTCATATCTAATGTAAATCATACTCCACCCATCAAGATTCCACTGGGACCGATGGGTTAAACAGGTGCTTGCATAAGAATCCAGTGGCAGGCCATAATGCAGTTTTCATGTGAGGATTAATGGTTAAAGAAATCTTTGTTACTTCGTAAGAGCAAAACAAAACAATAAGACTAGGATAAAATGAATCCATTCTATTTCCCTCCTATCTTGTCAACTGCTTACAAACTAGAATATCAAAATGTAACATGGTCTTGCCAAACACTTGGCATACTTCACTGAAATATAACATAAGAACAGTCAGGAGTTAAGGCGAACAGAAATTATTATAGGTCAAGGCAAGGCAAGACAGGATTAATAAATACATGACAAGTTGTCACAATTATGTGTATACAACTCAATGGAAGTTTTTTGAATAGAAATAATGACACGGATAACAATCAAAATATTAACAGACTATTATGAGATCATGTATGTAAATTTTACGATAAATAAACAAAATATTGTGAGTTATGCTCAGTTAGTGTTCAAAACACTCGATATGAATAAAAGATGATGCAACTAAATACGAGTAAGGGAATAAACATCAGAAGTTGACTATAGCTTCTTTTTGTACACGTAAATCAGGTTTAAGTCACTCAATTTTATAATTGTATATGCCCTTTTGTTACATAAAATCATAAACCAATCAGAATAATTTGTGAGACAAGAGTAACGAAGATGCGAATAATACACTTTAGACTATGAAAAGTAGGGCGTGGAATAAGGGACAAAATGAATACTGAGAATGCCATGACCGTGTAAATGGAGTGTTGAGACGACAGGCAAAATAGATCAGAGGTTGACAATGGACAATAAGATTGCTTATTACTAGGGGGGAGGGGGGGGGGCGAAGGTGCATAATGCGCATGCATGTCATTATCGACTGACAAATGATTTTCATTGATTCATGTTTCCTACGTATTGTTGATAGCTGTGTATATTATATTAGATTGAAATCGGATGTGATTTGTCCCTGCTTTTGAGTTTAGTGCTGGCTAGTGCATGCAATAGGATTGACTAAAAATAATGTTTGTTAGACTGTAAAGTCTTTTGTTTTCTCATCTAAGTGGTCATTCTTTCTGGTTTACTGCACAATGTTGGACGTGAGAACAGTTACTCAATGATGACTTTGGATGAAAGTTGCGCTATATCGTGAACTGATAGAAGTAAAAAGTTATGAACCGTTGGATTCTGACTCATTGGCTCAATTGCAGCATACTGACCGCGGAACCTAAAGGTCATTTATTTTATCCCTGGTGCGGTCATATGTGAACACTATAGAGGAGTCCCATACAAGGATGAGACGGTTGTCCAGTGCTTTCAAGTTATCAATGGTTTTCCCACTGATTGATGTTGATCGGTGATGATTACTAACCAGAAATCAATAAATAAATCTCTACTAACCTTAAAATTGTATAGGAGATTTATTGAATAATACCCCAGATTGTATTCAAAGCGTATCATTAAATTGCATTACCAAACATTCATGAGTGAGCAGTTTTAATTATATCAATCTATGAACCGGTTATTATCAGTAATGAATTTTCAAGCGTACAACACAACAGTTAGTTGTGTTTCTAACCTTTCATTCTTCAACCTATAGTTTGTATATTTGGTAACATAAAGGTGAACAAGGTTAATTTTTTAGCATAAAATAACTATTATGTTTGAGTTGTCAGTGCATGTAAAAAATCGTTGTGAGCAACTAAAAATACTCTTGAAATTGAGAATATCAAGTTGGCTAAGTAACTAACCCGATTACCTGCCTGATGGGGAAACAGAACATTGCACCAATTTAACTTATCTCTCTGCTATAACCGGTAATACAACCTAGCAGTCTACGAGCTGTAGGAACCTAATGCGCTAAAGAATCTGTTCTTATCGCTAATCAGAACGTCAACCACAACAACAATACTACTGGCATGCGAAGACAAGAAAAGAAGACGGACCGTTGACAGAGTGCCTATACTGTCTCAATAACAGTCAGAATAGTTGAGAGGGATGCTGATTATATGCATTCTAAATGACCTTGAGAAACACTAACTGATAAGTTAATAGAGTTAAGAACCAATAATAGAGTTATTTCAAGGTTATAGGCAAATTAGGGGTATATAACACTTTCGAAAGAACATATGAGCAAGTTAATATGGTTGAGGCAACAATTATTAAGCGTTTGTTGTTGACTAGTTTGACTAAATTTCTGGTATGACGCTGGGACATTTTAGATTGACCAAGTCAGAAGCGAGAACAGACATCCAACGACGAAACTAGTTATTCGTTCAATTATGTCGAAAATGGATAGAAGCCAGAAAGTGTCTGCCACTGGAATCCAGTTTAGTGATTTAATGGAAAATAGGCTCAGTGTTTCCCCTGATACTCCTAGTTTTGTTAACATACGTGGCTATGCATGTGCACTGTCAATGTGTCTTCCTCTAATCACTTTATCGCGTCTTTTTGGCTTAGCTATGACTTATTGGTTTAGGGAGCTGATTTTCAATCAGTAGGCTCCTAGTTTGAACACTGCTCCACCTAGCCAGGTAGTATCACTAGCCCTTACATAATAAAAGTCGCCCACTGCATGAATGTGCGTTAGGTTTCTGAGTGGGAAGAAAAATTTCGGTTTGTTTTGATAATCATCTTATAAGACAATACCAATCGACTTCACTGGACACTGTCTACTTGTATATTAAAGTATAAATTCTCTTCTCTTTTAAGTGCATAAGGAGTAACTCGACTGGATAATCATTAAGAAATTATCGCTTTTGACTATCTGAGATATCTGTGGTTTGACAGACTAGTATTGATACTGGGTGGTGATTGAAGGTGAAATGAAAATTTGAACTGCGGCTGGATTCGAACCAGCGACTACCGGGTTTCCTGCTCGATGCTCTTCCAACTGAGCTACGAGATCAGACTGCTGATCAGTTTTTTATTTAACCGCTATCTCAGATACTCGAAAATAATGATTAATATGATTCTCCCCTCCCCTTCAATTCACTTACATTTGGATTGGGATGAAAAGTCCTGACTAGGCAGCCAGTGTGAATATGACCAAGCGGCAGTAACGCATCACGAATTCACATGGTAGTTGGACAAAACCCTTGATTGAAGTGAAATAAAAATCTGGTCAGCAGTCGGACCTCGTAGTTCAGTTGATAGAACATTGGGCTGGACACCTAGTGGTCGCTGGTTCGAGCCCAGCGGCTGTCGGAAACTTTCATTTCACCTCCAGTCATCACCCAGTATCATTAAGAAATTTCTTAGCGTTTTGCTTTCCAGTATGCTTTAGCTTAGTGAACAGTGCATATACTGATTGCGTACTGCCTATATTTATGTGATATTTCGTTACACTATTGCGTAATAAACCACCAAACAGGAGTTCTTATGTATATATCTTATACAACGGTTATTGACCTATTCTCTTTTGTCTTCCAACTCTCTTTTAACAATTTCAGGATATTGGTGTACTTCGACACTCAAATAATATTAATAATAGAAATAACGGGAATATGAATCCTGATCGAAAAGATGAACGATTATCGACATCATTAACTCAAAGAAACTGTTCTACTTCATCAGTTTTGGATATACCAAGTTATTCAATCAATAATATGCTTCTTTTACAACAGAATACTAATGATAATAATAATAATAATCAGTTAAATTACTATCCGATCTCATATTCAACTACTTCTAATGTTAATCATGATTATGTGGATAAATTCAATGAGAATATGAATGGTATTCAATCACCAATATTATTATCATCCTCATCATCATCTAGGATTATTATGAATGATACTGTCAACCAATCAACATCAAATCGTATTATCACTGATAGTCAACGTGTTCATGATTGGCTACGCGATTCAACTGCTACAATGAATAATGAAAAAAAGTCTACTATTAGCTATCATAAACACGGTGTAAATGAAGCTATTACTACTGATAACAATAGTGTCAATAATAATAATAATAATAGTGGTATTAAAAAGCCTGGTTGTTTATCTGATCGACCTATACGTAGACATAATATCCATTCAACGTCGCAACTTCAAGGTTTAGTAGAATTTCCTAGTCCAGTTGAAGATAATTTTATACACTCACCAATTAAATCATCAGTAGCGCAGTCTATCAATCCCAATAATAATAATAATAATAATGATAATAATAATAATAATATATTTCCTGCTTATAGTAACACACCTCTAATTTCATCACCATGCTTTACCTCTGAATCTACCAGTAATATGTCAAAGGAACATATTATCAGTAGTTTTAATGAATTCACAGAACAAAATATTATTCACGATAAGTCACTTCTTTTGAATAATCATAATAATGATATGTGTGAAATTGTTAAACAATCCTCTATGCCTCCAATAAACTCTCAAAGTATGCCATATCCTGTAACTCGTCAACGTGCATTTCCTCGTACCAATCCAACTGTATCACGTCCTTTAGGTAATGTAACATGTACTCTACCTAGAACTTGTATTATTCCATCGGAGAATTCATCGATTCTCTTAACTTCTCCTTCTTCCTCTTCTTCGAATGCTTTAAATCAGTTTAATGAAACAAAATGTACAAGAATATCTATGATAGATTCAAAGCTTCCTGTTATTCATAGATCTAACTCAAAAGATTCGTCTGCTTTGATTAAATCAAATTTCACTGGTGATTATGCATCAGGTAATTCTAATCAAAACTGCTTACCTGATTATATTATAACTTCTTGTTCATCTGTAGTATTGAATGCACCTATTAAAGTTTCATGTACAATCAGTGAATTTACTCCGTCATCTTACTCATTGAATGAATCGACTACTAAAATGAATCTTCGGAATTATCTTCCTATTGATAGTCCTTTATCTGCGTCTCCTCATCCATCTTCTTCACCAGTATCGCCTACTTCATTTTCAAGTGGTTCATCAGCTACTGCTCTAACAACTGCGAATTCTGAAGAAAGTGTAGATATATCAAATATTATCGCTTTAAATCATGAGAATTGCAATGATTTAATATCATCAGATTCTAAACAGATGCTACAACAAAGTAAACCTCATGCTAGTGTAACTTCTTGCCTTACCAATGCTACATGTGAGTATAGTCATTATTTCCCTGTTTTAAACGAGGATAATGAAGAAAAATTAGAAGAAGAAGAAGAACAAATGCGACCTCCTACACCGCCTCCACGTTCAGCTTCCACTTTATGCTCTCAAGGGATACCAAATTTGTTTTTTGTCAGCTTTCCAAATCATCTATCTTTTAATACTCCAATATCACAATTCGATCAATCTACAGGATATCTTCAAACACATTATCTTATTTCCTCTCAGCCTTATACTAATCCATCCCGTGGATCTAATACAAATGTTTCCTTAACATCATCTTTATCACGTAATCATCCTTCACGAGCACATGTTATTCAACCAAATCATCGTCGACCACATCGTTCACAATATTTTACTCAACAAATTCAAACTGGTTCACAGTGTAAGTTTTTCTCACCTTTTTAAAACAAAATAAAAGCTTTCCTCATCTGGATATATTCGTTGAATCTTATTGAATAAACACCTAACTAACGCCCGCTTGTACTGAACTGGACAAAAGTTACCATATCAGTCTGGAATTCATCGTGAACTGACATCAGTTGAAGGAACATTGGAAACCTGGGAGGGCTGGACAGCTGTTCAGGACTCCTCAGGAATGCATACCCATGGCCCCGATCCGCCAGGGGTCGGACTCAGGATCTTCAGGTTCCGTGGCCAGTACGTTACTATTGAGCCACTGGGTCAGGACCCAATGGTTCATATTTCCTTCTGTCAGTTCACGACAGTTTACGATATAGCGCGACCTCTATCCAATTTCATCATTGAGTAACTGTCCTCATGTTCGACTTGGTCGACTCCACTGGTCATGACTTCCCATTGGAACTCCGGGAATCACCTCTCGAAGCTAGTCACTAATGCACGCTAGATTAATTCAATATCGAGGTTTGTAGAGATTTACTAATTGATTTCATGTTGGAATTCATCATGGACTGACATCAGTTGGAGGGACATTGAGAACCTGGGGGCACACAACTGCATCTGTTTCGTCCCTGTGTGGGACTCAGCAGTGGGCACTAACGCGCCGGCTATGGATCCAACCCAGGATCTTCAGGTTCCGCGGCCAGGAGGTTACCATTGAGTCACTGGGTTGGAATCTAATGGTCCATATTTCCTACTTCTGTTCAGTGCCGTCCAGTATTTTCAGGTTTCCAATATTCTTTCAACTGATGTCAGTGCATGATGAATTCCAACCTCCAGATTGGGATATTATGATATTTTAAATATAGCCCTATCTATTTAGGTTTTCTGTAGACAGATTGTTTTATGAACCCATTATGCCATCGACTAATGAATATGTCCAAGGAAGGTAAACAGTCATCATCCTCTTTTAAATATGTCAAGGATATGCTGCTCTGCATTTTAGTCAATCGGTACAGAATTGAAGTGGATTGACTTATGATATATAATTAGGTTATCATCGAACTGTCTTTGATGTAGATGGGCTTTCTCAGTTAGGTTCTCTGTTAAGTAGTTATGCACGTGTGACATAAATATTTCTGCTAAAAGGGAGCCCAAGGGATTCCATATGGCAACATCATCAACCTGATAGAAATGTTTATGCTCGAATGTAAATTTAATGTTACGTCTACATGAAAGTAGTATTAAAAAATTACGCATGGAAATATAATCGTATAAACTATTAATTGTCTTGATCAAAGGGACATTGGTGGATGATGAGTTTACACCAAATGACCACATAAATTTACTTTTTATGCTGACATCACCCAGGCATTTGATTGCTTCAAATGGCCAACAGCTAGTAGAACTGTTGTATCCCATTAAGAAGCGATTCTGAAAGTATTCTTTTAAAGATACATTTTAAGTAGTCGAATGCCCTGATTGTCAACACCAAAAAAGTATGTTCATTTGACGTAAACTCACCATTCACCAATGTCCCTTTGGTCAAGGCAATTGACAAATCATAAGATAATTAGTATTTCTTTGTACTCGTAATTCTCTTTTGTTATACTAAATCGAATCCATTGATCTCTGTTGACATATGGACTTCTATAACGAAGGTTTGCCGATGATAGCTTAATTATATATCATAACTTAAGTCAGTCCTCTTCAATTCTGTACTGAGTGAATAAATGTATTCACTGTTGAGTTGCTAAGCAAATGAACAAAACCACCAAATCAGACGATCGGAAGGTATTTACTTAAGCATATTCTTTAGACCTAGAATATACAGATAACATAGTCCTCTTGGGCGAAGACGGTGACAAGATTCAGAGTCTTCTGAACACACAGCGGCAGTTTGAGAATGTTTGGGATGCGTTTCTCACCACCGAAATGCAAATTGTTGCCCCATGATTGGTCTTCTTCCCGACCGATAGCTGCTACCTTGACGTGGTGGTCGGGCTTGCATATCACAATGACCCAACGAGCTATGCTGGTGGAACGCTTGTTCCCTCGAGGTCCTACCATACCAGAAAGGTCTGTTGGGTAGTGGTTAGACGAAAAGCAGTTACCGTTATAGTGTAAATTGCTACACTATGATGGGGGTCTGAGGGCGAAGTCGTACTGCTGCTAGCTGGATGGGGTGTGACAGCAGTAAGGTGTTTCCCTTGGATGACCAGCAGTGCCAAGCTGATGCTGCCTTCTCAGTGGAAGGGGGGGTTAGAAAAGGTCGGCCCCAAAAATAACACACTCCACCACGCCCCACGGTCTGCCGGGCCGGCGGTGTTGGTTCACTTGTCGTTTCCTTTCGACCATCCGGCCCCAAAAATACAAAAATTCAAAATAATCATACTCAAAAGGCTGGGTGTGACAGGCCTCAAGCAGATGTCCGATGGGCTCTGCGGTCACACAAATCTCTTTCAGGTACCTTAAGAAGAAATAGCCTTCCACGGTGTGGGCAGCCGGGAAGTGTCAACCGCCCTCACAACTCTGTCAGCACCCAAGTTTCTTCTGACTGCTATCCTCCTCCTCCATCATTACCTTCTAATCTTCCTTCACGTCTCTTAATTAATGATGCTGCATCATCTTCAATTTCTCCTACCTCTGCAGCCTTCGACAACGATCTGAGTCCACAGAACAGCATCCCTGGTCTCCTTAAACCACGCTCCAAATTACATATTGGAGCCTTCAATGTCCGCACCCTCCGTCAAATTGGCCAACAGGCTTCGTTGGCAAAGACTCTAGCAACTCGAGGCATGGATGTGTGCTGTGTTTGTGAGACACGCATACAGGACCCAAGTGTGGTTATTCACCTGACCTCTCCTGACCAATCTGGTGAATCTGCAAAATTCACCCTTCGAGTTTCTGGAGATTCGATAGCTAGCTCTCGTGGTCTTGCAGGTGTAGGTATAGCATTAAGCACCAGGGCAGAAAACTCACTACTAGACTGGATCCCAGTTGATAGTCGCCTCTGCGCTATGAGGCTGAACGGCACAGTGAGAACTAAAAGGAATAGTGAGACTCGCCGTTGTCTCTTTGTAATCTCTGCTTACGCACCCACTGACTGTAGTTCGGATGAAGTGAAGGACGAGTTCTACCATAAACTGTCTAACCTCCTCTCGAAAGCCAAACGTTCGGACGTAGTGGTTGTTGCAGGTGACCTCAACGCACAGGTGGGTAGACTGAGTGAGGCAGAAAGGCACTTAGGTGGCACTTTCGGAATCCCAGCTGAACGTACAGATAACGGTGATCGCCTATTACAACTATGCTCAGATAACCGCCTATTTTTAGCCAGCACAAATTTCAGACATAAAGAAAGGCACTGTCTGACCTGGCGTCCAAACTCAGCGATGGACACAGATAGACCACATTGCTATTAGTCATCGCTGGAGAGGATCGGTGGAAGACTGCCGCTCCTTCTGGAGTACGTGTTTGGACAGCGATCATGCGTTGGTCCGAGCACGTATATGCCTGCGTCTCAATGGACGTAGAAAAAATTTGGCAACAAAACCACTACGAGTTCTGCTGGACAACGAAAACACCAAAGCCGTGTTCAGTGAGAAGTTGGCTAGGCAGTTATCGGAACAAAAGACTGTCACTCATCCAGAAGAAGCTTGGTGCCATCTTCAGTCTACTGTAAAAGCAGCACTGGAGACTGTAGCCGACTCCAAGATAATGGCTAAAAAGAGCCAGTGGATATCAGCAGCTTCTTCCAAACTAATGGATGCACGTGAATGCATCCCTGCAGGCTCTGAGTACAATGAAGAGCGAGCGCAACTTAAAAATAAACTGACGAAAAGTCTGCGCAACGATCGTGAACAGTGGTGGGCAGCAAAGGCTAAAGAGATGGAAAAGGCAGCGGCGATCGGTAACAGTAGACAGTTATTTAGACTTATTAAGGAGACTGGGGGGAAATGGTCAACAACAGTTAGTGAGGTTATAGCGGAGAAGGACGGATCGGCGATTCACTCGCAGGGAAGGCGACTGGGACGATGGGCAGAACACTTTGAGGAACAGTTTAACTGGCCTCCAGCCACCATTGCGCTGCCCGCTATCCAGTCGGACCCTGAATGGGACATAGAGACAGGTCCCCCAACACTAGAAGAAGTTGAGAAAGCGGTAGGTAGCCTGAAACGGGGAAGGGCAGCAGGACCAGACGGACTACCTGCTGAGGTATACAAGAATGGTGGTAGAGTTCTCTTAGTCAGGCTAACGGAAGTGTTAGCCAGTATATGGGAATCAAATACGATCCCCTCCGACTGGTCTAAGTCACTCATCATCCCAGTCTTCAAGAAAGGCGAGAAGTCCTCTTGTGATAACCACAGAGGAATCAGCCTGACAAACATAGTGTCTAAGATCCTAAGTTCTATAATTCTCCGACGCCTGAGTGGAGCTCGGGAACAGCAAGCCCGAGAAAACCAGGCAGGCTTTAGACCTGGCCGTGGATGTATCGACCAAATATTCACACTGCGCCAGGTCCTGGAACATAGGCATGCTTACAGACGCCCGACAATAGCTGTATTTCTCGACCTGAAGGCGGCATTTGACTCCGTTGATCGAGAAGTCTTATGGCAGTGTCTGTCACTGAAAGGCGTGCCTAGTAAGTACATCACCTTATTGAAAGCTCTCTACTCGAACACTTGTGGGCATGTTAGAGCCTATGGTGAGTTGTCCAGGGAGCTATACTCATCAAGTGGTGTCCGTCAAGGATGCCCACTATCCCCATTCTTATTTAATTTTATCATAGATATTCTTATGGAGGTTTCCCTCTCGTCACCTAATTACAAAGACGTTGACCCGATCACAGGTGAATTTTCCTTAGATCTAGAATATGCAGATGACATAGTCCTGTTAGGTGAAGACGCTGACAAGATGCAGAGTCTTCTGAACACTTTGAGTGGGAATTTGAGAATGTTTGGGATGCGATTTTCACCACCCAAATGCAAATTTTTGCTCCAGGACTGGTCTTCAGCGGTACCGCGG